CCTTTAATATTATGTGCTTTTTCGCATTAGTTTAATTTTCCAAACCAATCAATCTCGCACAATTGCATTTATTTTATTTCTTTTTAATCACTGAATTTATTTAATTCTTAATTCCCTTTTGTCCGTCCCTGTGGAGACGATACTTGTACTTACACCACTATTCTACTACATTTTTAAGTGAGAGAAAACTCACATCAGACTTCAACACCCTTTTTTATGACCAGACACTTCGTCTGGACCGTACCAATGTACTGTATTTTATTTTTTCATCAGTTTGTCATTGTCATTTTTATATAGTCACGTTGTCATGTTTCACAAGTGCCCACCCCATGATTATATGTCAGTTTGGCTCCGATACCTTATTAAGACTTGAGGTTCCTTCATAAAAGATGAACCTCGAGTATCTCATGATCTTAATATAGTACTTCGTTACTTCATATTTTATCGGACTTCAATAATGTGTTCCTTGGCCTTTTTAATATAATGAGGTTTTGAGATGGGCCTGGCTCTATTTTATCGGTCTTGTGACCGGTAATATCGTAAAATTTCTTGCGATTTCTTTAGGTCTTTAAAAATTGAACAACATAGAATGCCGTTCACACCTGTGGGCTGTGGGCTGTGGCCCTTGGGGTAACACGTTTTGCAAGGCATACTAATTAAGGTTTAATTAAGAATTGGATCGTAAATAAGATTACTTGGCTTAGAGAGATATGTATGGCACTTTCTTTTTAACGTTTTGTCTCTTAAAAGCTGTTAAACATAGTATTTACCCAATGTTTTAAGATATACTTCGTATAAGGTGATGACAAGTTGAAATTTTTGTTTGAAACTGAGATGTCACTATTTAGAAACAGAGAAAACTAGTCATACTTGAAGAGAACCAAATAAAATGGGTCATATCTTAAACATAGTTGAGTGGATCAAAAGAGTAGTGAATTAGAATCTTCAATTGGGATTGAGGGATCATATTTTCTATAAAGCTACACATGATGAGGTAAAAAAATGGGTTTAAATTTCTTGCTTTGAGTTATTATAAAATAAATTCATATAATTTGTTGGTTTTTAGGAAGCCATATCTACTTTAGAATCTTAGTTTCAATGAAAACAATCTCATGATTATTTTGACCACTAAATCAAACTTAGACCATTGAAAGTACTCTTCTGCCACTTTCTTTCCATTCACATTAAACTTAGGATTTCCTTCTAAATCATAATAGAAGTATTCAATCAATTTGTATTACCATTGCAAATCAAATTTTGAACTCCGACTCCAACTCGAAATGAAAGGACCATTGCCTTGTTGTCCATTTGCTTCACTTTTGGAGTGTACTACACACAACTTGAATGAGATCTCTTAGAAACCTTTATCCTGATAGTCATTCGCAAACTTATATTTGTTACAACGAACTACAAATTCTATAATCGCGATTTCATCTCATAACTAAGCAAATGAGACTGATGATCATTCTCAATTTATGAGGGTGACTACGTGGTTGTATTTTGCACTATGGTGGAGGAACACTCTAATACTTAGACACTCTCAATTAAGACAGAACATTGGTGGTTTATAATCTTGAAATAAGATTCAATTTGTTCTATCTCAACTTTGATCAACAATATTGGTGTTTTAAGAAAATAAAACTTGTACAATTAATTTCACCCGATCCCTCTCCCCATTTTCTTGCCCTCCTTTTCTCTTTTTTGAATCAAACATGGAGTTAAATATTAAACACACAGTGGAGTTAAATAATACGGAGTACTAAATTGTAAACTACAATGAGTACTATTTAACTCCATGTTTGATTCAAAAAAGAGAAAAGGAGGGCAAGAAAAATGGGGAGAGGGATCGGGCGAAATTAATTGTACAAGTTTTATTTTCTTAAAACACCAATATTGTTGATCAAAGTCGAGATAGAACAAATCTACTCATTGTAGTTTAAAATTAAGTATTATTTTCAACACGAATATCAAACACACAGTGGTCTATTTAAATACTTGGTGTTGAAATAAAACCGCAGAATTACATTCAGTGTAATATCTATTTGTTGGACAATGTTTGTTGAATAGAACTAAAGTATAAACGGTTTTCAAAAATAGGACTTGATATTTGACTCAAGTTAATGTTAAATGGCTTCAAATTTGACTCTTTCATTCCTTAAAGAAGTTTAAACTACCCTTCTTTTATTATTATTAGAACAGAATTAGTCATTATTTTAGGATAGAACAAAGGTACTGCTATTTATGCAAACCACTTATGTTTTACTCTAATATTTAGAAATTTCTTATTCTTTAACACAAATGGCACATATACAAGGCCACATAGATAAAGTGAAATCTCCACGATGGAGACATAATATTGAGCTGTAGGATTTTATATTTGTTTTCCACAATATAGAGCTATATGGTTTTGTACTTGTTAATTTGCATGGTCAAATGGACTAGTGATTACTTTGTTGAACATCTATTTCTGCCTATTGCATATCATGTTTTACCAAGAATTACATGAGCTTACAATTTACAAGGATTAGGCAAGAATGTTTCAATTCTGATATTTATTGAATAAATACATATTACAACATCAGATGAAAAATGTGAGGGTGTTGGCTCATCAGAAGAAGACCAAGACAACCACAGCGCCGGGGAAACCGAACTAACTGAAATTGATCCTCGGGCCGAAGACCGAGAGTTGAAGAACCACTTGCTGCGGAAGTATAGCGGCTATCTAAGCAGTTTGAAGCAAGAACTCTCAAAGAAAAAGAAGAAAGGGAAACTCCCCAAAGAAGCGCGTCAAAAGTTGCTTAGTTGGTGGGAGTCTCACTACAAATGGCCTTATCCTTCGGTATGCTCTATGCTTAATGCACCCCCCCTTCTTTCTTCATTTTCCACTACAAAGAGAAGACAACAAGTGTATAAATGTTAGCGTAGGTAATGATGATATTGAATTATAGATACATTTTTTACTCATAAGTACATTAAACTGTTACCATGTAGTGCCATTTTTGAAACTCAGGACAATAAGGGAGTGTTTGCAATTGCTTCAACTTTAAAAAAGTGATTTTTTAAAGTGATTTGGGGAAAAGTGATTAATAGTAAAAGTTGGTAGTGTTTGAGAAAAAAGTGATTCTGAAAAAGTAAAAGTTGGTAGTGTTTGGTAAAATAAGTACTTTTTGTGTAATAGAAAAAGTGAAAAGCAGTTTAAAGCACCCTTACACCTGCTTCCAGCTTTTAGCTTTTAAGTGATTAATTTAAGCAGAAGCTGTCATTTGAAAACACTCTTTTTAACTTTTTTTAAGCCAAAAGCTGAAAAGTGCTTTTTTAATCAACTGCAAACACTCCTTAATTCTTTACTTGATTACTCCCTTACTCTAACTTGGTGTAAATTTGAGAAATACTCAGCTGTAATACCTTGTATATTGTTTTACCAAGTTGATTAGGTCATCACGAGTAATTGCGGTTCTTATCTCTAATGCTATCACTTGATGAGCTACATTCTTTGTGTTCTATCTGAGGTTGTTGCACTCATCGGTATTTTAAATTGTTAATCGTGATATGTGAAGTAATTAGTTACATATAATATTTCAGGGAAAGTACATGAAGTTCAGACTCTTTTATCAAATAATTTAGGTCAAGTTTCAAGCAGTACCATGATCTAAAGTATTATTTCAACAAATCTAGGGCACTTAGATACAACATGTTAGGGTACAGAGCAGTACAAACAGTTTTGTAGCTGAATTTTTAAAAGATTTGCAAGTCTTGATGATAATCATTTTGGAGTGACTAACATTAGTTTTGGTTTGTTAATTGTTTCCACAGGAAACGGAAAAGGTGGCGCTGGCCGAATCAACGGGTTTGGATCAAAAGCAAATAAACAACTGGTTCATCAACCAAAGGAAGCGACATTGGAAGCCGTCTGAAGATATGCAGTTTATGGTGATGGATGGGCTGCATCCTCAAAATGCAGCTCTTTATATGGACAGTCACTACATGGGAGACGGTGCCTATCGTTTGGGTCCATAATAAATAACATCAAAGTCGGAACTAACATGCTGTAGGGACTTGTGATGACTTAGTAGGGACATGAAGGCTTGTTTGGGAATGCCATGGAATAGTTACTTTTACACTACAACCTATGCCGGGAGACTAATGAATTTAAAACCAATCAAGTGTGAAGCAGATTAGGACCGGGTGCTTTTAATTATTTATGAGTATGTATTATGTATTGTAACAGGCATGCATGTAGTAATGCAAATTAATTGTATATGGCTGAGATTGATGATTCAATTTGAACGATCATGCATTCATGCATATAGATTTTCACAGTACGACTATGCCCGTAGACATTTGCTATTGCTTTATTCGGAACCTGGTTGCTAGCGGAGAACTAGCCCTGAAGTATTGTAACACTAATGAGCAGGTTGTGGACGTTCTTACTAAGTAATAATCACAGGCTATACATCGTTTCTTCCCTTTGCAGATGGGACTATCCGACTATGGGAGTTGCTAAATGTGAAGCAAGGGAGAGTGTTAACTGAGATGCTTCAAATTTAGTGGTGTACAACTAAATTCCTATTTTTATGGCATGATTTCCTGTGCAGATTGTTCTTTACTTTGTTGAATTTGTATTTCCATCCTATTAGGTGAAGTGGGCTAAGTTGGTGCCTATGTTTATTACCCACTTCTAGTATTATTTGCCGATTTATAAGAATTGGAGTTGCTATGCAAGTATGCAACCTATTTAACCATGACATTCTCAGTAATAAAAGTCAATGTTTCATACTGTCTTTAAAAGAAGCATTCCAATTTCCACACTCTGTATTTCAGTTTATATACCAAACAGTAAATGTATTAATCATAGTATATATTTTTCTACATGTTTACATTTTCTGAATTAATTCTCGGTTAAGGTCCTTAAGGATAACGCACTACACGAATTAAACTACTACAATTACTACTACTACCACTTTTTATTCCTGTTTCGCAAAGAGCCGATTGATGCAATAAAGAGCTGTACATGACAGGAGAAGATTGTTTTGAGTTGTATGCAACAGATTCTCCTCCAAAAGACCTCTCACAAAAATAGCACATAGTAATGACCGGGGCGGCCATTTTGTAAAATGGCGGCGGCAGCGTTGTGTGGTTGCCTGTTGATGTTTTCAGCTCTTGCACCTCCTTTTCCAACCTTTTGTTCTCATTAGAAAGTGCTTCAAAGCAGTTTCTTAGGAGCTCATGGCCTACTTCTGTTTCCTTCAGTTTCGTCCTGTAAGATCCAATTTCATTTTTGAGTTAAACTTTATAAATTTTGACTATTAATTATTCAAAATTTAAACTACCTTATCACACAGAATTAATTTCATATACATCATTACAATGTATATTACTCCGTATTGAATTTTTAACTTATTATAGACAAGTATAGATTTTTAGATATTTAGATTCAAACTTTTAAGTGGAAGACTGTAAACTCTAAATAAAAATTTAATTACGGTGCGGAGGGAGTATAAAATTTAAATCAAATTCTCCGCTACATTCCTCTTCTCTCTAGAATAGCATAAGACTCCATTAATGGGAGTTTCTTGTACAATGTAAGTGGTGAGGAGAGACTAATAAAATGAGAGTAGTTTGGATATTAGCCCGAAAAGTCTCGTAATTTCACTCTTTCGGGTTTCCGTATTAAAATCATGTGTTCATACATATTTATACATTTATATACTCCCTCCGTCCCATTGGACTTTGCCAACTTTATTTTTTTACTTGTCCCAAAAAACGTTGTCACTTTCCTATTAAAGAAACTAATTTGTGGTTCTGCAAATTTCTCTCTCCTCTGCACAAATTTCAACCACACAGTTTTTATTATTCTTATTACTCACCTAACTTGCATTTGGCAAAATCTAGTGCGACGGAGGTAGTATTATTTTGTGTTAGATTTATCACAACAGAATTACGTATGTTTCCATTTCAAATCGGTTTGATACGGTTCAGTTTGACCCAACCAAACTGTCATGCACGCCCCTACTACTCGAGTATCACGTGAGCCAATTCTCATCCCGCTCACACTCAAAATATGGAAGTAAGGAATCACCTCTTTTATTACATGTGCAATACTTGCTCCAACAAAGTTGTGCAGGGATAAATGATACTTCGTTCTAGAGTCCCATGGGGCATTGGGGGTGTAACTTAGAATTCTCTTACACGGCCCAATGGCGGATGCATGCAAAGAATTATCATATTAACTGAAACTGGGCCATTTGGGCTCTACCTATGTGGCCCAAGCGTGTTTCGTATGTCTCACACCTTGACATTTTGATACTTAGAGCATCTTCAACCCCACACTTTTGACATTAAAAAATCCTTGCCACATCAGAAAGTTACAAGGTGTTCTATTTTTTTGCCGTGCAATGGACTCTTTCATCAATTAACATTGTGCTGAGGTGTAAGAAATAACCGTAACAATGTTAAACCTACTTTATCAAATTGCAAAGCCAATTACACTGGCCGAGTCAGCAACTGAGGCTCTTCGTGGGTAAAATACGGGTGGATTTTTTATTTTGCAGTTGATGAATTTTTCTTTTGCAATTACTTTCATTTGTTTTTAATTAAAAAAACGACACACGTACTTGAAACAATCCTATGCATTGTGTACCACTTCCGAAGTTTACTTTCTCAAGTTTTGACATCAATCCTATGTGGTATAACATTCCATACAATTACTGACATGTGTCACAATTTTTTTAATGTCTAAAGTCTAGCATTGGATATGCTCTTATACCACAAGTTTGATATCTAATCAATTTTTTTTATATGTCATAAAATTGAATGGGAGTACGTATAATATAATCAGAATGCTAGTATGAATATATTTTAGCTCTATTTGTATACTTTGACTTTATTTCAAACTCATTTAGAACAATTTTTTTAAAATTAAATTCAACCATCCTTATATTTAGTTGTAAGATTTGTAACCTTTTTTACCAAGTTAAAACAGTGACTTTGATCGATTTTGGATAGGGATATTACCTGGCTCTTCGATTTTGGAACCAGACTTCGACTTGTCGCGGATGCAGATTTAGCCTCCTCGCCAAGTCATGCTTTTGTTTCTAGGAAATTGACAAGGAAAGTCGATTAGGAACTATATTATACAAAACTTAATTAATTATTAGGGATTTCATTGTCAAAAATATAAAATAAATATTTAATAGCATAGAAAATCATAATAAAAAAATCATTGGAATGAAATACAGAATTAAGAGTAGTGTGTTCTTTGAAGCTGTCTTCTAGAATGACTGACTGGTCCTTGGTCAACTTAAGTTTCTTCCTCGTACCAAACTCTTCATCCTGCAACACTAAATACTCATCCCTTGACGAGTCAGGCTTCTCTTGTAGCACTATTTTGACTTCTTCTTTTTCCCGCTTTAAACGAAAGCGGGAAAGGGACGAATCCGTAGGAGAAGCTTGATCATTCGTCATCACATCAGAGCGTGGATTGTTATTATCCTTGCCATATTCAAGCTGCAGTTCCATAGGAAATGATCCAAGGGAACATGATGGGAGATAGGTATGCCATATCATCTGGGAATTAGGCTTTGATCTCTTATTTTCTTGATGATGATGAAGAACATTTGCATGGACATCATCATCACTGGATGCTAGGCTGAGAGTGAGTCTGGTGTTGTGAATTTCTTGAAATTTCATTATATGAGTTGTGTATGGAGTGTGATGATAGTATAATGTGCATGTGGAATTTGTAGGTAGCTGAATAAATAGAGGAAATGATGGCTGGGATTGAGAAAGGTTCTCACACCGATTATTAATCTATGGGTGCTAAATTTTTTTACACTATTAATTAGCTCCTATTGTATTCTATAAGTTAATCTTGAACTATTATGATTTATAATTGAAATAGTCATCATATTGAAATGTCAGACCCGTGTTCCCTAGTTTGTAAATGTCACCCATCAATTGTTCAAATTGCTGCAAATGTGGTCCTTTGAAGAGTGAAATGTACAATGGAGGCGAGAAGTACATTTACCACTCAAAGTACCACATTTACAGCAATTTGGAAAATTGAGGGTGCCTTTTACAATCACAGAAATACGGGTCTGACATTTCAATATGATGACTATTTTAGGGACTTAAAGTGCGATTTTCCCTTGCATATTTATGAAAGCTAAGTAATACAGAGTAATACATTAATTACTATTTACATGAATGATAATTGGTATTAATAAAACTTTCAGCAGTGCTTTCTTTGGGATTTTTATTTTTTACTTGAACATCACTATATCGTATCAAAGTTGATTTTAAAAAATTAAAATGACCACTTTGGTATATGGATGGAAATTTGACTAAAAGGAAATAAAATTGGAATCACAAAAATCTCATTACCTATTCAATACATCACAGAATTTTCTTATGTCACGTTTTTTTTATAGAGATAGGAGTATTAATTAATTATGTCCGGTTATTGCTCTTCACATTATTGAATTGTTTTCTTCTTCTTCTAAAGAATCACATCCATGATTCATCACTCTCCCTAGCTAGGTTGACTATTATATGGCTTGTTATCTTCCCACCATTTGTATTTGTCAACCCCGGCCCATTCAATGAAATAGAATCTCTTTGTTAAATTCCCATTCTAAAGTTAGCTAGCTCTAGAGTCTCGGGGTTTGACCTTTCATGCATGCGCTACGAATTATTTCATGGAAAAATACCTATATATTGGACTAAAATCAACTCATGTCGATTCCGATTTCCGAATAAAATACTTCGTAAGAAATGAAGAAGTTCGGATGATATGAATACAATGATATGATATGAATACAATGATATGAATACATGCTATGTGGCATCATATTAGGAAAAAAGATATATAAGTCATATTTTGGGAAATACACAAATATACAAAGATGATCGTGATAATTTTCTCTTATTTCATTAGGTTTTTAGGTGTTTGACTTAGTATTTTTCGTAAGCTTTTTTATGGAGTTCTTATAATGCATTTGGAATTGAAATTCTCTATTTCTGGAAGAAGGCTTAGGTTAATATCACATGAAATCATCCACCCTTGAACCAGACTCAAAGTTAATCACCTTTGACAAGGTAATATAACTCGTTGATCCTAAATTGGACATAACTGAGCAAAATAAAGTTACAGCAGAACTCTCATCACCCAATTCTAATGCAAAATCTTACAACACCAAATAAAATAAAAACAAAAAACAACAATCTCAGACCGAATACATCCATACTCTTAGACTGGTGTATTCCATCCATACAACTTACGAATTACGAGCAGTAAAAACACCCGAAATGTACTATTAGGAGGCCGATTATTATATTTTTACTTTTCCGGATCTAATCTTAAAATATCAATATATTTTTATAGATTAGAAAAGGGTGTACTATGGAGAATTTGATACGAAAATCAAAATAATTCCTAGCCAAAAATAAGTATTAATTTGATGATTGGAAAACCATAGGAACCGTCCATTTTATATTTGAATGAAAATTAGTGCACATAGTAGTATCGTGAAGGTAACCGTTCATTGACTTCATTCGAACGGTTGGCCATTTTAAATATCTCAAAATTCAAAGATTTGGCATCACGATCGATGAGGCTATTAGGCCCATTATTTTTATGGACGAACTGAAGTCCAAGGAATTTCTTGTTCCAGCTGCGTGCTAGGATACAAGTTGGAGAATGAGTGGCGGATAAAATATTGTGGACACGGTCCTTGTCCCGAGCCTCAACTTTTGAGACTCGGGACATGACGGTTCAATCTTTTCTTTTTTGTATTTCATAACAGGTTAAAAGAGCCGTAAATAATGGGCAGAAAAGTACTTGACTAGGCCTAAATAGATACATAGTTGATGAGGGTATCTATAAAGCAATTAATAGAAATTATCCCGAATAGGAATAAAATTATGGCAAACATAAAAGACAAGACTTTTTATGTTCTTATTCCAAAATATGATCATACTACTCATATTTGAAAACATATCTAATATTTCATTCCATTCTTACCCTTCCTTTAAATATGACTAAAAGGTAATCAAAAGTCATAGTTAAATATTTTAATTCATAATAAAATCGTAAAACATAATAAAAAATTATAGAAAATTCATAATAAATAAAAATATATATATATATGGATGCCTTTCGCATCGCCTGTACTGCCTCCCTCCACGACCACTTCCGACCGGTGTAAAAAAATGTCATTTTTTCTGAAAATGCCAAAAAATGGCATATTACTCTTTTAGAATGCCAAAGTTTTCATTGAATATGCTATAAAGATGGCATTCCTAATGCATGTGACATCCCCTCCCGGTGACCGGAGGTGGTGGTGCTGGGGTCGCATAGGCGGCAATGATTTCTTTAGTTACGTTTTTTATTTTTATATATTTTTATTTTTTTAAATTAAAATTTTATTTTATAAATGTTTTTATTACTTTTTTAATTATTTTTTATGATTTTATTATGAATTAAAACATTTCAATAGCCTCCGAGAGTATATTTGTCCAACACACACATAATTAGTCCTACTAGTAAATTAAAAAATAGTGTAATCCTATTTGTGATTATTGACTACCTTTTACTGCTATTTAGGTAATTAACCCAACAATTAAACAAACACAGAAATGGAAACTAATAATAATCTTCCCATTTGATTAGGGAATTGGAACCTAAAAATTTTGAAGCCCTTCATTTAAGTAGCTAGGAGGATGAAAATAGAAAGTGGCCATATTCTCTAACTCAATGATCGACACGTATAGTAGAATGTCAATATATAAAAACTACAAATAATATGGAGTAATAATGTGGAATTAGTACCATTTTGATAGCGACTAAAGTAGAGTCAATGCCCCGATCTGGATATGATCGATCCAGTTTAATTTTGAAATCGGGTTCCATTAGTGTTGTCGAATGAGGTGTTGAATCTGCTTAGCTGAATGGAGTATACCCGTTGGCATAAAAGATCGAATGGTGATCGGAAAATATATGTTACAATAAAGGGCATTGCTTATATTATGAAGTTATGTTTATTGTATATTACAACAATATATGATATAGTAAACTATATTTAGAATTTAAATAAATACACGTATTATATATACTTGAAATTGATATCATTAGCTATTATCACCGACGCTCACAAAAGCATATACGGAGTATAATAATTCTCGGTAAAAGAAAGTGCATCCAAAACATAAAGCCAGTCGGCGAATATAAGTAATTAATTGTATTTTATTTTTAAGACATGGTATCCTCCAAAACTTGAATTTTGTTTCATAACGACTGAGGTAAAGTTTTTTTTTTTGGCGAAATTGACATCAATAATCTCTACTTTTACACATTTTACAAAAATAATCCCTACTTGAAAAGATCACAACTATAATCCCTACTATTTAACTATTTCACCAAAATAAATCCACTGCTAATGGTGTTAAGTTTTTCGTTATTTTTTAATTTTAAATATATTGAATCGAAAATATATATAAACATTGACACTACTATATTTGAGTTTAATCTTGTTTCTACTAAAATAATAATTTAATATTCAATATTTTCATCTATTTTTCATAAAACATAATACTCTTCAAATTCTCTATTCTCTTTCACTCCCAATCCATATTTTATTAAGATTCATTTTTGTTATTCATTATAATATGGAGTAGAGATTTTAGAGTATTTTAGTAATTATACATTAAATATAAATACAATTATGTAGAATATTGAATTAAACTCAAATATATTAGTTTATCGTAGAAAAAGATTAAACGTAAATATAATATTATTAATTTTTATGCATATTTTTGGTTTGATATATTCAAAACTTAAAAAAATGGAAAAGTTAACACCGTTAGCACTCGGATTATTTTTGTGAAATTTATGAGTAGGGATTATTTTTGTAAAATGTGTAAAAGTGCGGATTATTGGTATCAATTTCACCTTTTTTTAAACAACTGAATTACTGAAGTAGAGTTAATGCTAAAGTATTTTTTATTGTTCTAATAAAAAAATAAAAGCAACTAGAATGGTTTCCTGGCAAAGTGAATGTGCCTTTTTTATATTTTCGTATTTATTACATTTTATCTTATTTTTTTTTGTATTTTCGTATGTGGATTATATATATATATATATTATATTTTTCATATTAATTTTTTATGTTTTTATATTTGAATTATAAATAAATTATTACGAACTATTATGTGTGTTTTTATAAAAACAGAGATATACTTTTCTTGTTAAAATATAGTAAAGATAGAATAAGGTATTCTATCAATATTTTATACAATGTTTACTTTTAATTAAATAATGTATTGAACCT